CCCCCCCCTCCATCCCTCCCGGAATTTCCTACCCAGCAATCACCATCAAATGAACGAGAGCCTGGAAACGACTCCACCATCTTCCTAAATTATCCTCTTGTTCTCTGTGCCCCTCTTATCCTTATTTCCACTCGACCGTGGCCCGCTCTCTACCTTCTTCCAACCTTCATATTCTTCCTGCTCGCCGTCGTCCGGGCACTCGGGCGCAACTTGTCGACCATGTCTCGGCCTTACTATGACCCTTACGGTCACCCCTCTCAGCTCCGTCCTGGATCAACCCAACCTCCTCAGTCTCCTTATCCAACCTCACCGTCGGGACAATATCAGGCATATGGAGCTCCATCACTTCCTCCCAACAAGCCGGCTCACACGCCTTCACCTGGCCCTCAGTCGCCCTATCCTGGAGCACAACCTCCTTATCAGACAAGCCAATCGCCCTACCCCGGTTCCCCGCCCGCGTATTCTGCACCGGCCAATCCATCGCCGTCTCCGGCTCCTCAGGCTTACGGCCAGGCTTATTCACAAGCACCATATGGTGTACCCGCGCCTCCTGCCCAAGGCTACGTGCAACCGTCACCTTATAGCACGCGGGACCAGCCGTATGGACAGTATACTCAGCCACAGCAAGGCTATGGCCGGCCCCCGCCTCCCCCACCCCAGGGTCAGCCCTACGGATCAGCCACCCCCCAGTACTCTCAACCTCCTACAGCTCAAGTACATATTGGTTCCCATCTCTCTACACATGCGTTCTCAGTTTCTTTCATATATCCCGTTGTCTGAGCGCACGTTTACTCAGGATCGTAATCCGTACTGACCGAGTCTGATGTTCTAGGGTCAACCTTACCCTCCTCAAAATGCGCCTTACTCTGGCGGACCCGTTCGTCCTCCCCAGCAGGGTGGGCCTCCCGGAGCTGCGTACGGTCCCTCGGGGGGTGCCCCTCCTCCGGCTCGTGCCACGGACCAGCAGATCGCCGCCTACCGACAGCTGTTGATTGGCACTATTCAAGAGAAACGCCTTCAAAGCTTCTATCCTCCTGAAAGACTTGATAAGCTCGTTCAGGCTCTGTCCAACGATGCACCCTTCAAGGTGAATAAGCTGATTCATGAGCTTAATATCCCAACCGAAGTGGCTATGGATATCATGAAATTGGCTCTCTTTGATGTTATCTTATACGTGGATGACAGTGGCTCCATGGAATTTGAAGAACGAGGTGTGAGAAAGGAACAACTGCGTTCGACCATCGAGGTCGTTGCTTCGGCTGCTTCCACTTTTGATGATGATGGTATCTCGGTGCGGTTCATGAACTCACCTGAGCAAGGCGATGGCATTCGCAACGCAGACGATGTTAGCCGCCTCGTTTCGCGAGTCCGCTTCCAGGGTCTTACACCATTGGGTACAAGTCTACGCAACAAAGTCCTGGACCCTATGGTGGTGGCTCCGGCCAGAGCTGGTCGACTCCAGAAACCTGTTCTGATCATCACCATTACCGATGGACAGCCAGCCGGTGAGCCTCTGGACAGTGTGTCGAACGCCATTGGCTATGCTGTCAACGAAGTTTCTCGTACTCAGTATGGACAGGGGGCCGTTTCCTTCCAGTTTTCCCAGGTCGGAAACGACACCAAGGCCCGGGATTTCCTCGCTTCTCTGGACGAAGATCCTCGAATCGGCTCCTTGATTGATTGCACCTCAAGTATGTTGTGGCCTCGCTATGGTGGTACGATGCACTAACTGAGCCTATAGACTTCGAGGTTGAGCAAGATGAAATGTCACGGGCCAATCCCCCAGTGCATCTGACTCGCGAACTCTGGGTGAGTGCCTATGAGATACCATCTTGACTACACGCCATTGACTGACTTTATCCTAGTGTGCCAAACTGATGCTCGGTGCTATTGACTCTTCATACGACACCAAAGATGAAAAGGCCGCCGGGCGTAGTGGTGCTCCGCCACCCGGACCTCCAGGTGGTCAGTACGGTGGTTATAACTACAACCAGCCTCCCGCCCAGAATTACAACCAGCCGCCTCCCGGACAGTACGGCTCAGGACCTGGATACAATCAGGCACCATACCCGCCCAGCCAAGGTCAGGGTCAAGGTCCCCCTCAGGGCTACGGTCAAGGCTATGGTGGCGGCTACGGCGCTTCCTCTCCGCATCCCAACCAACCTGGGTATGGACAGTCGCCTGGTGGGGCTACACGAGGCTACCCTGGCTACGGAGCGCCTCCCCGCTACTAGACAGAAGGTAGCATACTGTTGAAGATGGGGGCGAACCGAACTGGTTTCGTCTAGGAATCGCTTTAAGTCTGTAGCCATTGCTTTTCTTGCATTATTATGAGCACCGTTATGTCATGAGGACGACCGCATAAAATTGGCACAAATGCAAATGACTAAGGATTCTGTCTCTGTGTGATTGCAACACCATGTAATATCTCCTAGTCGGTGTAGCACAAGACAATAGCATATCGACGCTCACGGCGTTCTTGTTTCAGATGTTTGACATACTCGCACAACTGATAGTCTAGGCCAAGCACGACCTCAGATGCTGGTGATATGACGTCATAGCGAACAATATCACGTGAGCATGCCAACCATTGACCAGAACAGAAACCATGAAGTGCGCTAGATAATAGCTAAGTTGCACCATCAAGCCTGCGTTTGTAATGGATGCAGTGTATCATCTTCGAGATAGCCGACCACGGGTTGCACGATGAAGACCGCAGTCAAGAATAGCATGGATATTCGCCACTATCTTTTTTTTAACAAGTACATATCAAAGGCATGGTCAACGGGTGTGGGGGAAAATGTCACCCAAGCCGCGGGCAGGTCGGAGGATTTCCTGTTTCGGACTGTATTCGCCATGGTCCGGGGAGGCAGAAAACACATTCTTACTAGGTTAGGCTCCACTGTAAGTTAGTGATGAGGAATAGTTATCCATGTCATGTCTGTCTGTCACTCTGTCTACTCATAGTAAGTTAAGTGTTCGTTCAACCTTCCATAAACTCAAACCAGTAGGCAGCCGCATGACAGGGACAGATGATAGTAGAATGGTGAATGGTCGGTCTTTGCCCCGCCCTTCCCTGCTCACTGCAGGCTCTCAGGCTCTCTCTTACTTCTTCCACCCTCCCACTCCCACCCATTTAACTTTCTTCTTGTCTTTTCCTGGTTCTAGGCAACGTTCGTGCGGGGGGGGG